GATCGCAGCTCCAGGAGCATCTGAGCATCTTGAATTAGAAAGCAATGAATTTCTTTCTTCTGCTACAAATTCCCCTAGCTGTAAGCCTTCCAACCTTCTAAATATTCCTTTATATGTGGTTCAGAGTTCTGGCACCATCCCCTGAGCCTGCTTGGTCTGGTTTTCTATGTTGTTGCTGACAGAACTCCTCACTGCACTGCTACCCAATCCACCATCTTGTTTGTTCTCCTCCATTCATATTTTCTTAGAGACCATTCATATTAGATGTGCCATTCATATTTTCTTGTAACTCCCAAATGACTGAGTTGTTGTTGTTGAGTGCTATTAATTTGTTTCCAACTTATAGCAATCCAATTTAAGGTTTCTGAAGACACAGCAACAAGCTTCATCTTTCTCCTGAGGAGCCGCCGATGCATTTAAATTGCTGACCTTGCACTTAGCAGCACAATGCATAACCCATTATGCCACTAGGGACTACGCAAATAAGGAGCTTGTGGCCCACCAAAGAGATTGGACAGAGGCCCAGTGTCCTGGAAGCTCATGTCCACAAACCCCCAGGCACACTGACACCTACTAGGGGGCACTCTCACCTCACTCAGAGTTGACTCTGTCCCTTGCTGGCCTGGTAATGATACATGGTGTTGGGCAGGTATAGCCATGGAGGGAGGAATCTTCATCAAGGATGCAACCCCTCATCAGATGGATCATATGAGCAAGGAGGCACGGGGGTGATAAGACAAGACAGCTGGTACAATGGTACATTGCTTAAGGTTCTCTTTTCCACAGGGTCTGTTATCGGGTAGGCAGGTGGGCAGACAGATTTGGGGAAGCTGGCTTGGGTCACAAACATGATCACAGAAAAGATCTATACTCTGCATTGACCAGTGTCTGCCCAGGGTGCCTTAAGATGGGGTTTGTATGAGAAGGCTACATGCTCAGCAGCAGGTGGACAGAGTTGAGGAAGAGAAGTCAATTTATCTGCCAACCAGTAATTTAAACACATACAAAAACTGTATGGTGGTGGTGTGACGTGGAGACTATTCTGACTCATAGTGATCCTGGATAGGGTGTCTGAGTCTGCAAATCTTTATAGGGGCAGAAAACCTCATCTTTCTCCCATGGAACCTCTGGTTGACTCAAACTGCTGACCTTGAGGTAAGCAGCCCAACATATTCACTATCAGGGCTCTTTACAAACAATATATTGTTGTTTTTTGTTATGTGCTGTGGAGTCGGTTCTGACTCATAGCAACCCTGTACAGGGTTTCCAAGGCTGTAAATCTTTATGGTTGCAGAAAACCTCATTTTTCTCCTGTAGAACAGCTGGGAGTTTCGAACTGCTGACCGTGAGACTATCAGCTGGATTTGTAACCACTACACTACCAGAGCTCCTTTTACAAACAATATATGTTGTTGTTGTTGTTAAGTGCCATCGATTGGTTTATCTGACCCATAGAAACCCTGTATAGGGTTTTCAAGGAGCAACTGGTGAGCTTGAATCACGGACCTTGCAATTCAAACGGCTTTGCAGTCTGGTGCATTAACCCACAGCACCACACCAGGACTCAAACAATATATAGTACTTCATTAGTCAATACCACAAAGCTCCCTTTCGACTGTGTGCCCTTCCCAATCCAGAAAGTCTCCCAGCTCAGAGCCAGTCCAGAGCCCCATTCTCTAGCACTGCCCCTTCCTGAGTACCATGCTAGGTAACCACCTCCCTGACCCAAGGTCCTTTCTACTTGCATTAGGGTTGGAGGCATTAGCCTGGCTTTCCTATAGAACCACCAGTCATAAGCAGATGACCTGAAGACTTACTGTGGGGACAAGGCTCGGGGGCTCATAATCCTAATGTAGACAGGATTTGTGATGGGGGCAGTTCCAAACACCTTCCCTCACTCTGCATATTTCTGAACATTTTATTAGGCAGGTCTGTTTTTTAATTCATCTAAAATCCTTACAATAGGTTTTGCAGCAGGTTTTTTTTAATACAGAGGGTGGGAGGTAACAATAGGCAGTGGTCTCATTGGTCACCCGAAATTAGGGAAATGACACCTAGTGAGAGGGAATGACAGGTGATAACAGTATTGTTGTTGTTGTTAAGTGCCATTGAGTTGAGTCTGACTCTTAATAACCCTGTATGGGATTTCCAAGGAGCAGCTGGTGGGTTTCAACCGCCAATCTTTTGGTTAGCAATTCTGTGCTTATGCCACAGTGCCCCACCAGGACTAGCTAGATTGAAATACAACTAAGGTAAGTGCATGACCATCGAGCAATAACCAGCATATAGAACTGGAAGTTGGGTTAAAATAGGATCTCCCTTCCCTCCTATCCAGAAAGAATCCTGTGATCCTAATTGTGGGTTCAAATATTGGATCCCTAGTGTGGTGCTGGATCTCTAGTGCAGTGTGGAGTCCTGGTGTGGCACTGTAGGATACGCACTGGACTGCTGTTGACAGTTCAAATCCACCAGCTGCTCCTCCAAAATCCTATACAGGATCTCTATGAGTTGGAACTGACATGATGACACTTAACAGCAACAACAACAATGTGGCAATGCAGGATAAGCACTGAACAGCTAACCTCAAGGGGGATAGTTCAACCCACCAACTGCTTCTGGAAAACCCTATACTGGGTTGCTGTGAGTCAGAACTGACTTGACAGCACTTAACAACAGCACAACCATTAGCTTGTTTCCTATCTTTAAGCCTGTTTCTTCATCATTATTCAGGAATAATCATACAGTTTATCTAAAAGGGTTCAGGGAAGATTAAACAAGAAAATGTATGTGGAAGACCCAGACTCAAAGATGATGACCCTTAATAACCAAGTATAAGAAGTTGGAGGCAGGAGGAAGGAACAGTAGGAGGAAAGACAGCCTCAGTAATAGGAACACCAGAGAGCATTCATCGAGAGTTTTCTGTGCATGCCCTTGCAGAGTACTTCCCATGCATCCCACCATGCAACCATCTCAGGAGTTCTGTGAGGTGAGTAGCACACTCTTTCTGTTTCACAGAGCAGAAACTGGGACCTCAGGAGCTTGTCAAAGCTGCACGTGGCTGAACTGGCCCTAAACCTCAGGTGGGGCTCTGAGACCCATTCCTTCCAAGGAGACGGTAAGTCCATGCCCTGAATGTTGTCTAAGTAACAGCCTAAGGGGTCTGGGGCACAGTGGTGGGGCTCCCTGGACAGGTGCAAGCAAGACCCCTGGGGTAATTTGCATGAGGAGGAGTGGTATTTCTTCAGAGGAGGAGAGGAAGGGCAAGACCTGCATCCTGGGTGTCTGCATCCTGGGTGTCTGTGTGGCTTGTCCTACTGATGAAACCTGGGACCTCCTGGGGCAGAGGCCTCCAGGCACCTTCACTGGGAGGGCTGTGTGAGCCAACACCTTTGTTCAGGAGATGGCCTTGAATTCTTACTTTTATAAAGATTTGTGTAAGCGCACACAGAATGAAGTAAGAGAATTCTAAGAGAAAAATATCACAACTATCACTTTTATGATTTGGAAGCCCATCATATAGGCAATTTCCTGCAAGTTAATTCCCTAAAGTAGAAAACTGGTTCCAACCAAGTCTTTTTCCCACCCTGCAGCAAAAAATACTTTAAATCTGATTCAAGATATTCAGCTTACAAGAGAAATCTACATTTACAAAAGAGCTTTAAGACTGTGTTGTTAAGTGCCCTTGAGTCTGTTTCGACTCAAATTGCCCTCTTTGGGTAAACTTGAACCACCAACCTTGCAGTTCAAACCGACATTGAAGTCCATTGTATTAACCCATTGTGCCACACTAGGACTCCTTAATATTATATTGCTGTTGTTAAGTGCTGTTGATTCAGTTCTGACTCATAATGACCCTGTAGAGGATTTCAGAGGAGCAGCTGATGAATTTGAACTGCCGACCTTGAGGTTTAAACTGATCTGTGGTTAAGTGCTTATCTTATAGCACCACACTAGGACTCCCTTAAGGCTATGTTGTTGTTAAGTACTGTAGAGTCGGTTCTGACTCATAGTGACCCTGCACATGGTTTCTGAGGCTGTAAATCTTCACAGGAGCATTAAGCCTCATATTTCTCCCACGGAACCGCTGGTAGTTTCGAACTGCTGAACTTGAGGTTGGCAGCCCGATTCATAACCATTACGTTACCAGAGCTCCTTATGCTTATGTCTATGCAAGATGCTGTATGTCTATGCAAATAATACCTCAGAGTGTATGAATTTTGCAAATAAAATAATCTCTCACAAATTCTTTTCCTGTGTATATTATTGGGTGTTATATGTGTGTATGTGTCTACATGATTCCTTTGGGTGCATTATATACACATTGGAGTACTTATAGTAACAATAGAAATAGTCATTATAAACAACAATGTACCCGTATAGGTGTAAACTTTAATATTGTTAGATTACTTGGGAAGCTTGCTGTGATTTAGCTATTGAAGAAAATGAAGAACAAGTGTTTATTTATGTGAAGCCAGTACTGTTAAAATTCTCATGGAAAAAAATAAAACCATACTAAGAGGAAAGAAAAGGTACTTTTTACAATGTAATTTTTGAGAATATTAAATGTATTCAGAAAGAATAACACAGTGAGGACTTTAATGTGTTCAGGAGTGAATGATTTGGACTTGGGAGCTCCCATGATTTCCTTTGTCCCTCAGAGGATTAGACACAGACAATCTTGCTCATTCATTTGGAACGGGTTAGGGAAGCATGCTCACCAAGCTGTCCTGATATTCTGCTGTGCAGTCAAACCACGATTACATTCCTGCTTTGAAAGGCGACTGTTGGCACAACCAGCCTCAGAGCATTCCTCAAGAGTCCTCCTCGTCCTCCCAAGGAAGAATGTACACGTCCTCCTGAATGAATGTTTTGCTTTGGTTTTAACCCCAGTGTCTTTCCTGTAGCCTGGGTTTGCTATACTCTGAGCTTGGTTGTCTAGGTCTGATGACTCCTGTGTACCCTATTATTTGCTGGTCACTCTAACTTCCCTGCTCCTCCTACTTCTGCAGGTTGTGCCATTCCTGAGCCACATGGCAGAGTCTCCTGTGGGCCCTCAAACTCCATTATCTGCATCCTTCCCCAGTGTTGTGACATACCATAAGGATTGGGGTGTTTTATCTGAGGCAGAGGCCAGGAAAACTCAGAATGCCTTGCAAAATGGGAACTTGCTGGAGGTGGTCTCTGCTGTCCTGGAAACTGTGAGAAGAGCATCCAGTGTACCAGTCAACATTGCTGTGACAGGGAACTCTGGGAATGGCATATCCACGTTCATCAATGCACTTCGAGGCATCGGCAATGAGGAGGAGGACTCAGCTCCCACTGGGGTGGTAAGAACCACCCTAACACGTGCCCACTACTCATCATCCCATTTGTCAAGTGTGGTGCTGTGGGACCTCCCTGGATTGGGGGTTACCTCTCAGAGCCTGGAGGACTATGTGGTAGAAATGCAGTTTAATGACTATGACTTGTTTATCATCATTGTGTCTGAACAATTTAGCATGAATCATGGGATGCTTGCTAAAATCATTGAGA